CATTCACACAGTGATGATGGTAAATTACAATGCAGCCACAGCTGTCCTCGAGCAGATTGACATGTTTATGAGCTTGACCATTAAATAACTTGATTTTCAGTGATGGGCCCAAATAACCAAAAGTTTAATTTCACCAATTGCTAATTTGCTAACAAAAAAAATCATTAGCTTAGAAAACTCTAAACCACAAACTCAAGGCCAAATGTAGCCCTCCAAGCCCCCTCCCCACCATTTTTCTTTTACTTAATATGAAAATTGATTTTATATCAATGACAAACTATGAACATGTACAATAGGTTGCCTTCAGGCCCAGGCCACCCTTGAAAAAGAGATCTGAGATCTCAACGGGACTTGCCTGGTTAAATAACAGTAAATAAATAAATTAATTTAAAAACTTTACGTTTATGATTCAGTGCAGCAAAATAAACACATTTAAAAAGTAAAAGATAATACTTGTCCTGCACCTGAGCTGTTGGCTTTAAGTAACTGTGGCCCCTTGACCAGTTTAATTGGACAGCAGAGTACTAATGTCTCAAAATAAGCTGCTTTAAAGCCAGCATTGACCATAAACTACATCTCCCATAATGCATGTTGATTAATGCATGGGAATTTCTTGTTGGAAAGGGGGAGAGTTCAGAATTCAAAATGGCTGCTACTCACCACAACTCAACAGTGAATAAAACTCTTACTTTTACTTTTAATAGAATTTCTGTTTTGTTTATTTCATATTTAGTCAGTCGTGCACATAGTACTTTTCAGTGTTTGTAAGAGGAGTGTTAAAATACTGTTTCTATGCAGGAAATACCATGTAGAGCTCAGTTATTGTTTGTTAGTAGCAATGAGATGAGGAACGTAATGTTTCATGTTTAGTCTAAATTGGACGTGAAATGTCAAAGTTAATTACACCTGGCCCTCTGAGGGCCACCATAATGCTAATGTGACCTCAGTGAACATGAGTTTGGTAACCCTGCTCTAAACCACTAAACAGGATAGAACAATTAGTAGAAGATAACTGATATCAGCTAACTCAAGGTGCGTCATTTTGTAAACATAGTTTTTGTTTTATTAGCAGATTTGAAGTTAGCAAAACTCACTTTAGTGGAAGCTAATGCTAACTGATAACCACTAATGCAAGGTTTGTAATTTTTTAAACACTGTTTTTGTTAGTGGACATAAAGTTGGCAGAACTCAGTTTAGTAGAAGATAATGCTAACTAATAACCACTAACTCCAGAGGGCTGTTTCACAGAAGCAGGATTGAGAAATCCAGGATAAGAGATAAATCTAGGCTTGAACGTGATCATTTTATTCTAGCTTCATCCATTTCACAAATGCCAAACCAGGCTGAAGAGGTGCAGCTATGTCAAGCTAGGTGCAAGTAATCCAGGTAAATGCACATCCACAGATTTCTTCAAAAGGCCAGTCACAGATTCACTGATTCTTCAAAGGATAAATTGCATGTGCTGTACTTCTCACCAAATGAGCAACATCTTTTGCTGGAAGCTTATGAGGAAATGAAGCACATCATACTAATAAAGGAAACACTGCCGCTATAATAAAGGGGCAACAAAGGGCATGGCAAACAATATCTTGTCGCCTGAATGCCTAAAATAAATATTTTCTAACCATTACTCTTTAAGAAAAACACTGTAATCATGTTATTCAAGGATTTACCTGTCATTTGCTCTAATTAACAACTAAACTTAAAAATGAACAGTAGAAGTCTGTAATGTAACGTGTGAATCCGACAGTAGATGCATTTGTGTTACTCTTTTTTTATTAATATTTTTACAGTACTAATGACTTAGAAGGTGCCTGCTCACATATTTCATCCCCATGTTTATTTTAGCCATTAAATAAAGGCTGATGTGTCTGACATAGCGGGTGGCCCACCATCCCCAGAATTCACGCCAGCAGAAGAGCTGGTCCTTGATATAAATAAAGGGAGGCCTGTTTTAGAAGGGATCCAGCGGGGGACAGCCATTGACTGTGTCCCACCCATAGAAACTGCCCCCTTCATACATGGTACATCATTCCACTATTGAATATGTAACTTAATCACACATCTGTAGTATGATGGATATGAAGGTAATTGTTGGGAAAAGCCAACGGGTTGGACCTGTCCTGAAACGCTCTTTCCTGTCTGAAAGCCCTTCTATATCTAGTTATGTCTTGACTTCATTGACAGCACCTTTGCTTCTTTATCGTCATTTCTCAAATCCCCTCAACACGTGAAAGTTTATTAAAGGCCTTTTTGTCAAAATTAGATCAACAGCAGTATTCAGAAACAAAGGAACAGTAACAATGCCCACATGGATAATTGTGACATTTATAATGATAAACCATGATAATGTTAAAAATAATAATAATACTTGACTGAATGTCAATTTGAATCAGTGGTATTATATTGCAGGCTGATTAAAAAAGATTTAAAAAGATTAAAAAAACGTCCAAAACAGACAGATAAGAAAACAGAATCAGTTTCTGTTGGGCGTGACCTGACTGAACAGATAAGGCACCAGGTTTAACTAAGCCTGGCTCGTAGCCTGGTCTGGAGCAGGCTGGCTGCACAGGATAAATGGTTGTGGTAATTTATGCGCTACTGCTTTTGTAAATCCAAATCGAGGGTTAATTCAGCCAAGATATCCGAAAAATCCTGGCTTAATCTGCTTTCTTGTTTTTGTGAAACAGCCTTCTAACCTGCCATTTAAACGAATTTGTTATTGTTAACCGATTAAAGTTAGAAGAACTCCAATTTAGTGAAAGCTGATTGGTCTGCTGATTGTTTCCAATTTTCCAAAGTTAGCAAAAACTAATCCACTAAACATAGGCTGTGTCCAAAACGACAGGCCGGGTCCTCCGGAGGACCCAGACTCCCCGGTCGCGGCGGGCCGGGTCCTTGGTAGACCGGGAAGACCGGAATAAAAGAGGCTGTGAATTTGGACGGTCTAGCCTCCCCTCCTTACCCCGGCATACGTCATGTCACCTAGCAACTGTGACGACACTAAACAAGCAAACTTAAATCAAAACTAGAAAAATATCAATATATTAGCATTATTAATATCACAAAACTATAAAAGGTAACATTTGAAGAACTAATTGACCCGCTGTAGGTGCGTGTTTATTTCACGTTTTTTTATGATAAAAATAATATTTAAAAACATTTCTATACAAATGATAAAAGTATTAGAATTACAACCGCTATTTTTTTTAAATTTCCATATCACCACATTTTTATTTAAAACGTATTCTTTTCTCTCGCTTCGTCCGCCATTACTAGCTTAAACAAATCTCCGGTCGGGCCGCAATGCATTATGGGATATGCTGGGCCGGGAAGGATCCATCAGACCTGTCCTTCAAATCGGGGAAAAAGAAGGACGTATTTGTTGGCCGCATCGGAGGAGTCTTTGGTTTTGGACGTCCTTCGTCGCGGGGCTGTGACGAATGCGACCAACGAATTCGGCCTTCGGAGGACCCGGCCTGCCGTTTTGGACACAGCCATAAAGTTAGCTTTGCTATTAGCTGTTAGCAGATTAGTGGAACAATGCTCACCACTGTAGATTTTTATTGGTTTAGAACAGGGGTCTCCAACCTTTTTTTTTCCTTAAGAGCTACTTTCACAAAATGAAATTATCCGAGAGCTACTTTTTGCAACCTTTAATCTTGAACTTAAACCATTGGATTAAGCTTGTTTAGCACAGAAAACGTCTTCAATTCACATGAAACACTGAATTTACAAAAATGTGTGTTTTGTGTTTATCCATTCATATTATAGTGTATTTCACTCTAATAAATTAGGGTTTAACTGCGACAGATTTGTGCACAAATAACATCAGGTGACAGGTCTCCACACTTTTTTCCTCATTGTAGACTCCAGTGGGAAGAAACCCCCTGTAGTGACATATACCACAGCAGGAGGGGTTTCCCAGGATCTTGGCACAGTGTGTGTCAAGGGGCTATGAAAAGTGTGTGCGAAAATGAATGCCGAACAACCACATAATCATGGGTCATTTGCCGATCAACGATACTGAGCCCTAAGCCATTTGATTGACAACCAAGGGGAAGGGACATCTATAGATTGACTGGAGTTAAATGAAAGGTTGTTTGGCCAGTGATAAATTAAATTTTGCTTCTCCTAATTTTTCACAAGCACTGAAGAGCTACTATAAAGGAGACCAATTATGGGTTCTAGAAATTTTTATGGTATGTCTGTGGGCTATTCAGACCATGTTCATTCAATTTAATGGACAAAATAATTCTCACATTATAAAATTTCCCATTTTCTAGTTCTGCCTGCTCTGACTTCCGTTCAGAATGAGTGTTTATGTTAATGAGCTCTGTTGGTAACGCCCTCCAAAAATCTGTTGACATTAACTCTGCCCTCCAAAGCCAGCGTTTAAGTTAGCATGGCTAATAATAGCAGAAGCTCCGTTGTACAACCATATGAGACCCTGTGAGACCCAGAGGCAGAGTTGGTCACAGCTTCTTTGTTTTTTTCTCCCCCTCCTCTGCGCTCACTCTGCATGCTGTTACCAGAGCAGGGAGCAGCAGCGGTCAAAATACCTCAGAAACTCGAACAAATAGGCTTTAACAAGGCTTTAATAAGCTAAACAATAGAGGTACATGAGAAAACGTGTTCATAAAGAATGAAAATAAATAAATAATTAAATTGTATCCATGCTGGTCTCAAACCCTGGTCTCCCACTCTTGGTCCAACACTCTACCCATTGCCCTATCAGAAGG